ATAAATACATTGTTATATTAAATTCGGGCTATTTGATGGCCTATTTTCAGATATTTGGGGCTAGAAATGCCAATTATTGCACTCAAATAGTTGGTTAACAATTTCTAGTTGCTCTTATGTCAGTAAACTATCATAATATTGTTTGTTTAAAAATAGTTTATACTCATTATTACTCATTTAGTTGACAAGAGCATTTCATTTTGAAATTAAAAAATATTTACAATCCCATACTCAAATTTGAAGGGGGGTACCTAGAATGTGACATTTCATATTTGTCCACTGCATATATTTTTCTATATTTTTGATATGTTTTTCAACTGGTATCAATATACAATATAAGCCTAATTTAAAAACTGTTGCAATTTTTGGGATGTTAAACTTCCATTTGCCTAGCCTATAACTAAGAACATTAGTTCTACATTTATATAAAATAATTCAATAAAATACCCCTAATCTTTAGTAAAAAGTGCTCTGATTGGCTAGTCTAGTGAAAGTTTTTGGCACCAAATTCAAATATTATGAAATTTCAAAAGAGTTTGTAATTGAATTTCCAGTAATTACATTCATAAAATATATGACATAATTTAAGATGCATAAAACACAAAAAGTAACAACTGTAGTATTACATTTCTTGCGATGCATTTGAAAGTCAATGGGTAAATAATTGGGCTATATCCATTCATATTTCCCGCTTACACCGATATTGCCCATTTTATTTAATAACCTTCGTGACAATATCATGATGTCATGTTTCATTTCCCTCAAATTTTACTTGCACACAAATCTAAGTCGTCATAGATATAAAGTATCTAATTGTATAGTTATGTCGTCATTACATGAAAAATGCCTCCGTTCTTGCCCAAAAATGCTTCCAAAGGCCAGTCTCTATGGGCAGATCTCAGGTTTATTTCACATATTATAGTTACATATTATGATATGTTTTGTAGATGTGAATATAGAGAAGGAAGATGAAGATCTCAATTCCAGTAAGTACCTAGTTATTAAAAAAATACTGATATCTAATTGGCTCTGATAAACAGGTGTTCTGTATTATACTCAAATGAAAGAGGATTCAGATTTGATTACAAGTTTTGTATCATTAATCTTATTTTTGCCTTAATATATATACTCTGGGTTTCCAACCAGCTATTAACAAAAAACTGTTTCTTAATATTTTCCTTATAATATAAAGTTTTTAGAATTTGAACTTTTGAATGTGATAATAATAATCATGTTTTTATCGCACCGTCAGGGTGCTATATTGTCATCAGTTTGTTCAGGCGGGTGGGTGGTTGGTTGGGTGGATAAACATTCGGTCGGATGGGTGGGCTTCCCCACTAAGCTTGTCCAGCCAAACCATTTCAGAGATTCATCTTAAATTTTCAGGGATGTTTCAACGTATGAAAGTTTAGAACTGATCATTTTTTGGCATTCTTGGTAAATGTTAAGCAGCCATTTTGGATTTTCAGTCCAAAAATCTTGTCTGTCGAGGCTTGTCTACACGTATCCAGCCAGGGATTCATCTGAAATTTTTAGGGATGATTCTATGTATGAAAGGATTTTTCGTCCTAAATCTGGGGCTTGTCTACAGGTTTCCAGCCAAACCGGTTCTTCGTGAAAGGGTGCAATTCTATTCACTCTGTGTATTGTTTCATATGTTACTGATTCCATTGTCTTGTTATTAATTATTTTTGCAGGGAGACGATTATTCATTGATTCACATGAAACTCACGTAAGACCGATTGACATCTGGAGTCTAATAATTATGAACCATGGAATATATATACCCCCTGGGGTGTCTTTTTATCGCACTTTGAAAAAGTGCTATATTGTCGTCGTCTTGTGCTGTTGGGCGGGCGGGCGTGCGGTCGGGCGGGCGGGACATAAACCAAATCTTGTCATCAAATTTCCAGGATAACTGCTTACCTGTTCAACTTGAAATTTTTACAGATGCAAGAGCAGACTAGTACCAAGATCTGATTAGGTTAAGGGCATGCTGGGTAAACTACGTGGTGGCCATTTTGAATTTTTCAACAAATCTTGTCATCAAAATTCCAGGAAAACCACTTTTCCGTTCAACTTGAAATTTTTACAGATGCAAGAGCAGACTATTGCCAAGATCTGATTAGGTTTTGGGTATGCTGGCTGAATAACATGGTGGCCATTTTGAATTTTTCATAAAAATAAAAAATAAAAATATGAATATCAATTTGTAGGATTTATCAGGAATGGTCCCAAAATCAAATCATGTAGTGCATTTTAAATTTAGTTTTAATATTAATTAACATTGCTGTGGTGTTAATGTATCTTTCAGTTACAAGTCAACAAGCTATGGCAGCTGTAGGTGCACAGGATGGTTACCCACTGGATAAATTAGGTGAGCAAAATAAATAATATTATTATATCATTGCAATGTGACACGCTTTCTCATTGGCTAGGAAGCGATCACATGATTAAAAATGTGATGGCGTATTACCCTGTCAAGTGTACAAGTCTTATTTCCAACTATATATTCCACAGAGTATATACCACGGTACAAGTAATTACATTGTGGACATGCATTAACATGGGCATTAACATCAATATTTCTTCTTGTATATCAATAATTAATCAACAAGTTTATTCAACAAATTTATGCATTTATATAAACTATTCACCTAGGCAGAGGATAATTTGAGAAAAGCCTCATTTTTGGCTGGTTGATCCGGAGATACATTTGTAAAAATCAAAATCGTAGATATAATCTAGCCTATTGTCGATTATCAACAACAACTGGGCCCATGACTTGGACTTTAGTTGAAGAGGTGGAGGAGTTGTTCCTAAGCCCGGGTACTACGGGTTGCGGAGAAGTGAATCCTAAAACCTCTGATGAGTTTCCTCCTGTGCAAGGAAACATTTTCGAAGGGCAGAAAACAAAATTGTGGTAAGTTGGAAAGTCTAGATCTCGATAAATTTTCGTTGAATATCAATGACAGTCAATCTGAAATTCACGATAAATATTAACTTTCTAGACTATATGGGAATTATATCAGCTATTCCATCGAAGTGGATCTCCTTATTAAAAAGCGACCGCACAATGATAAGTGTATCAAACTATGAGCCCAGATTGGAATCTATCCATATTGCAGGTAAGATTTTTGATATTTCACAGCTGACCACAAAGCTTATTCAGTCAAGTATAAATGAAAATAATTTTAATTTATCAAAAAGTGTGCAACAAAGCGCCTCGCAATTCAATGTCTCAGTAAATGACATATGTTCGATGGCTTACAGAGTAACAAAGAACAATTTTTTTCGCAAGCTGCAGTATAGAATCATTAATAATATTTACGCGACAAACTTGTATCTGAAAAGAGTAAAGATAAGGAAAAATGGCGCGTGTGACTTTTGTGGGGAGGAAGAAACTGTTCAGCACCGGTTCTGGATTTGCAAAAATGTACAACCTCTCATTAAAAACATGAAAATGCATTGGGAGCCAAAGGGTATAGAATTAAAGGAACAGCACGTAATAGTGGGATATTTTGGGAACTTACTTTTCAAAGAATTCAATTTTGCTATTTTAATTTACAAGTACTATGTGCATACGAAGATTTTTAGAAGAGAACCTATATCATATTTGGGGTATAGGGCGTATCTTTCCGAGGGCTCCAAATTAGATAATTATGATTTCTAACTTTAAATAGCGTTCTATGCTTTATTTTATGGCATGATCTTTCCTCTATATTTATGTGACATTTACAGTATGCATGTGTCTGACTGGGATGTATGAAAGATGAGCGGGTATGGATGGGTAGGAATGTATGTGTGAAAGGAAGAACGTTTGGAGGTTGCCTTAAAATGTAAAATGTAAGAAGTTTAAACTGAAATAAAATAAACACTACAAAAAAAAAATGACAGTCACTCGAGTGTGCGTACCATAACATTTGATAAATGAAAAATGCATATAGGGCCAATGAATGCCAACACCGATAAAATCGTGAGAACTAATGAAAACGTTCAATATTTTATGAATATGTTCCAAGTTATCACTCACCTGTGATTATTGCACGGCAGTTATCACTCACCTGTGAATATGCACCAAGCCATCACTCGCTTGTGATTATCACATCACTCAACTGTGAATATTGCACCACAGTTTTCATTCGACTGTGAATATGCACACAGTTATCACTCACCTGTGATAATTGCACAACAAATCACTCACCTTTCTTGTTCTGATGCATATCTGATAATTTCTTTACATATATAGAGTGTTTATATTTAAGGAATAAATAATGATAGGCCATTCAATATGGTGAAATTCAGCAAGAGTTGGACAGAATGTTGTACAAAGCACGAACCGAAGGTGAGTGCATTTGTACTATCATTCTGTCCAACGAGTGCTGAATTTCACCATATTGAATGGCCTATCATTATTTATTCCGATTCAAACATAAAAATTAGTAAAAGCCGTGTAAAAATATCAAAATAAAAAAATCAAGGAGGAGTTGAAGATAGGAGCACTGATGCTCAAGAAGAATTCCAGGAGTGAAGATACAAAGGGCAGATAAACAGCAGATAGGTGGTTTTGGCCATACGTAATCACAACTTGCAGCCAAGGGAGGCTGTATTACCCCAGGCCTTTTAATGGGGGGAAAATGTTGGCTCGAGGAGTGTCTATAATCAGATATAGGGAGCAAGCAAAACAATTGTTTCAATTTTAGTATATTTTTGGCACATATCTTCCTTGATATGTCAAATTTAACGATTTAAAACATCATTAATAACAAATGTTGTATTTAAGAAATCAGAAATACCTTAAGAATGTGAAAAAGTTTGTCATTAAATGCCTTTATATGTGTAATGATGATGAATACATCACTTTGATAAACATAAACAAGTATAAAAAGATGAACAAGAAACTTAATGTTCTCATTTCAGGATGTTCCAACACTTCTGCACGTAAAAGCCATGGGAATGGAAAAGAGAAAAGCAGTGAGACTACTGATGACTAATATGTTTAGTAAAAGGGAGCTGTCACACACCAACTCAAGCGGTACAACATCAGCAGCAGGGAAGCAAATAGTTTGCAGCTTGTTTAGCCTTGGGCCTAGATACCAGCGTATCATTGGTGAGTCTGTCTAAAGCTTGATTATTAGAATCCAGATTGAAAGTCTGGAGTCTATTGCTTTTGCCTGTGTTGGCATATTTAATTTGTTCAATTACATTGGTACTGACTCAGCTACATGCATATCTATGTAAAGGTAAAACCAACCTGGAGTCTTAAATTGAATTCTATTCATTTTGCAATTTTAGTTTATTCCACATTAAACACACATATTCTATATTGGTCACAGTAAATGCAATTTATTAGATGTTTTAGCAAAATTTACTTTTTTCAATTAAAATATATTGTTTTACCAAACTGAAGTTTAAAGACACCTTTCAATGCATTTCTCTGTATAATGCAGAGAGGCATTAGACTTCTTACAGGTTACATGTCATATCACATTGTTTACTCCATATCGTCATGCTCCGATGTCATATCGCCATGTTCATATCACCATGCCTTACAAATTACATGTCATATCACCATGTTTATTCCACATAATCATGCTCCGATGTCATATCACCATGCCTTACAAGTTACATGTTATATCACACTGTTTATTTCATACCTTCATGCTTCGATGTCATATCACCATGTTCCTATCACCATGCCTTACAAATTACATGTCATATCACCATGTTTATTCCACCTCTTTATGCTCCGATGTCATATCACAATGCCTTACAAGTTAGATGTCATATCACCATGCTTATTCCATATCATGATGCCCCCATGGCATGTTTATTCCATATCTTCATGGGCCCCTGTTATATTAACATGTTCATTTATTTATGTTTCATACCAACATCAGTGAAGAAGTTATCTTGTCGATATAGCACCATACTTACCCAATGTCATTTTTTATTCATGTAGAGATCAATGTTTAGCAATGAGGGAGCTGGAGAAGACTGGAAGGAGAGGGTCTTCCGCAATGCAGGCGCATCAATGCATGGCCTTAGTGAGGAAGTTACAAGGGCCAACACCACCATCTTCCCAGGTCTCAGATATAGGAAGAGGGGAATCTCTCCGCCAGTTATTGGGTAATTCATTTGAATGTATAACATGGCAAATTCTAATCAAGTCTCATCCGTGGACTACTTTTGGGAAATATACATTTAAAAATTATGAAATTTCATGATCCCAAATACTCATTCAAACATTTGGAAAAAAGCAAAGCATATTTGTCATGATTAAAAAATCTTTTCAGGAACACTTCTAGAGGAGATGCAAAATGTTTCCACCAGATTATCAAGAATAGAAGCGAAGATGCTTGTCCAAGAAGAAAGAAAAAATGACGTGGTCTTCCTAGACCATGTTACAAATGTTTGTTCACAAAAATTTTAAATAGAAAATCATAAAATCAATCTGTTGAATATGTTAAAGAGTTTCTAACTTTCATTGCTCGTCTGAGTTGGCTAGAATGTACCCCAATGTCTTTAAACAATGAGCGTAGAGACAAAGCTGGGAAGCCCCTGCATCCTACTTCTACAGGGTATAGTCTTGCTTGCCATCCTTTGCTCTGGGCTTCATGGATTAGATCTTGGTATTTGTTGTACTTGAGTTGGTGGGATATGTCTATTCTTTCCTCCCATGGTACTGTAAGTTCTATAACTAGTATGGTCTTAGAACTTTCTGATAAAAGTAGCATGTCAGGACGTAGTGTTGTTGCTACTATGTTCTGAGGAAAGATTAACTTCTTATCCAGGTCGACATGCAATTTCCAATCAGAGGCCTTAGACAGTGACGAGAGAGGGATTGATGGGTCTGTATTCTTAGTCCTTGGAGTTGGTTGTTTTCCCTCCAGTTGAAATGCTGTGAATATGGGCTTTTTAAAGACCCTTGAGCAATAAACTTTTCCTTTTAGGGAATCGAACATGTCTCAAAGCACATTCTAATTATGCATTCAACAATATAATAAAAGGTTGCATTTTTGGTGAAAATTAGGTCAACGTTTTTGAAAAAGTATGTCGATTGGGCCATTGCCCCTTCAATATCATTTAGGTCTGATTAACTACATTATAATTGTAAATACTTTTCTTGAAGATAATGAATGCATCTAAAAGGTACACCCATGTTCATGATCAGAAAATATTCATAATTCAAGTTAGAATCGATTGAAATTGTTTGCGATAACCTACGTGCTCCTTTGAGATTCTAGCGATCCTGAAATAACATGTAGATTATAATTTTATATTCGATGAATATTTGTTTCAGGCAAGACTGAAGAGTATTGTTGCGGGAAACTGTGACAAAGCCCTGGCGCTTCTGGAAGCTATAAAAGTATATAAAGCACAAGTCAGGTCTTTGAAAGATCATACTCATATTAGAGCAAAACATTTATCTGTTTATTTAATTCTAAAAATCGCTTCAACGTGCAACGGATGAAGTAAAAAGAAATACTCCCAATCAAGCATTCAAGTCATCAAATGTATGCAATTAATTGTTTTTGTATGGCCCGGTGCTATATTATGTATTGATATAAATCTTCCATTACCTAAAATATTGCAAAACATTATGCGGGGTGACTAAAATCCAAACAAAGGACATTCTAATCTATACGGTTTTCTGGCTACCGAAATTGGTCAATTTTATGTTCAAATAAATGACAACTATTGTTTGACATTTATTTCATATATTACTAACGCTCGCCTTAAGCCTTAATTTTAACTTATTTTCTTACTCCAGTTGTTGAACAAAAAGGCCAACAACCAAATGACCGTGGATGTTCTTGTCAACCATACAATGAAGGATCTCGGAGGTGACAAACGAAGAAGTTCAAAACTCTTGATGGTGTCCCTTGTAAGTGTTTTCATATAGGTTGTTTTTGCTGATCTGATTTTCATCGAAAAACGTTTCTGCAATTATTATTTTAACTAATATAGCAGATGTACTTATGCAACTGTGTGTTGAAGTTTCCCTTTTTTGTTGTTTAAGTGACAACATTAGAGTAGTTATAGTTCAAATAAGCCATTCTAAATATGTTTCTTTCAGGCAACAACAATCAACATAAACAAATGGTGGGGGGGAAATAAAGGGGCGCAAGGCTACTGGAAAGCCAATAAAGCTGTTTGAATCAGCAAAGGCAACATTTGAAAGGTAATTGTCATATAATGAATGTGTTGACTTCTGGTTAACAACCACAATATATATAAATAAATTAACTCGATTATATATATTGATTGATGAATAAATACCGTACCTAGTAGATAGTACCGAAGCTATAATTTTAATAAATTTAAATGGAATATGTTAATTATGTACAATAATTCAACATTTGTATTTCTATACTCCTTGACTCATATCCTTCATGTTTCTTTTTTCCAGGTACAGTAAGCTGGATGAGGAGGGTGTGAGTGCAAAAATCAACCGTGAAAACGGGAAGGCCATGGCCAGAAGAGACTGAGGAGAGCATACTATAGATTGGAGGGGAGCGTTACATTGATAGACACATGAACATGAACATTCTCGATCTTAATTTAATTAACCTTTTTATTTAATTTTTTAAACATGTTTTTTATATTCAATCAAAAAGTGTGAGGTTTAACGAATAATGAATAAAATGTTGAAGGTATATATTTGTATCTCTATAGTTATGTTATAAATAGATAAACAGTTAAATGCCTACATATTCATATCACCATGAAATATGCATGTATTAATGAAAAAGAAGTGATTGTAAGGTGCTAGAAATTATTCCCTATTTATACGTAAAGTGTGATCATAAGAGTTTTTTATAGTTTTCATTGATCTATATAAGTATCCATTCGATCAAAGCATTATAGCTTTCTTTTAAAGGTTCACTAAAAACGATGCAAACGGTACTAAAAAACACACAAATAAAATAACGAAACAATTTCATCACCCAAAAAGTAGAAATTCCACCTAAATCCACGGCTCATTTTTCTAATAAATTCGGCGCCGTTCCGGTGCCGTTTCGATATCGTTTCCACGTCAAATTCGGTACCGTTTCGACGGCGAATTCGACGCCGAATCGGTGCCGAGCGAATCAGTCCATTTGGTCGAAATTCGACACAGAAACGGCGCCGAAACGTGTCGAAAATCACATTTCATTTTAGGGGTGTAGGACAATAAACTTGATAACAGAAGTGTCAAATGCTATATGATGAGATGACTCTTCAAGCCCTCTTCAAAGAGTCTTAGCAAATCTCTTTTGGGTCTATGGCCCTATTCATGTAAATAAATTAAATTATGACTTTATGTTTTGGGTTTGCATGTGAATAGTGCTCCTGATATGAAAACAACCACAGCGGTGATTCTATGAAAACTTGCATCCAACCAATTAACAAACTATTAAAGATTGACAAGTGAAGTCAAAATTTTGAAGATCAAACTCAAAGGTCAAGGTGGAGACCCAACAATGTTAGAAAGGGGGGACTCAGTCATGGTGGACAGAGGAATAATGGTTCAAGACTTGTTTGCAGCAAAAGGGGTTCAGATCAACACACCCACCATGCTGAAAGGTAAAAGCCAGCTTGAGCCAAGTGAAGTTATTTATGACAGACGAGTCGCTTCCAAAAGGATCCGCATTGAACGTGTCATAGGGCTTGGTAAACAAATGAAAATCTTGAAGCAGGATCTACATCAAGGAAAGAGACATGGGGTCAAGAATAATCAAAGTATGTTACCTTCTTCCAAATTTTGGGGACAGTTATCAATGTCAGGGAAAAGTTCCATACATTCCAAGTCCAAAACCAGGTTCAATTATAAATGTTAAATATTTATATTCAGGTGCATAAGTTCCTTTCAAGGCTGCACAACCGAACACATGTGTTGCTTTAAAATAAGACACGAAGAAACAAGAAGATGTAAAGCACTAGTCTGAAAAACCTAAACCATTGAGTCTTTTGAACTACGGACATGCAAGAGACGTGTTTTATTTTATTTTATAAATTTTATTTACTATAAAATTGATCGCACCTCTTTTTATATCCAAATTTCTGCGGTGAGTTGAAAAGAAAACAAGTTTTTGCTAACTTAAAGATGTCAGTTCTGGTATATGGAACTCAAGGACTTGTCCTGGTCAGAGGTGACATTGCTGTCAAAATACTAAGCCAAGTTGAAGTAACTTTGACTCGAACCTCGTAACCTATGGAATCCAAAAGTTTTGTTTTTCATTGCCATGGCAGAACGTTACAGACATTCCTTACAGCACGCAGCAGGATTATTCAATGCCAGCACCATCATTGATGTTGCTGACAGGTATGATGTAGAACATTCTGCCAAGTCAATGGAGCAATTTATAAGAAGTGGACAGGGCAATAAAACCTATAAAATTGCGGATAACCTACAGGTACCACCTTGGAAAAAGTTCATAAGCTCTGACAAGAACAAAGGGGAATTGATCTGATACCTCCATAAACACACTGATGATATTTCTTTTTCAGTAAACAAGAAGAATAGTGTTATTCACTTCTTCCAAACACAGGAAACTCTTGTTACTGCAACTTCACAGCTTGTTCCTTCAACAAAAGGGGAAGCTTTGTTCAACGTAGGCACTGAGGTGACGCACAAAGGATTCAAAGGCATTCCAGCAAGAATTGTATTCATTTCAAGTAAGTCCACTATTGTAACTTCATAAAACATTGAAAATTCAACTGTCCCGAGTTTGCCCGGTTTCCGAGAAATTGCTGATTTTGAAGTCAAAAAGTCAAATTTTCTGTAAACACTAGACACTTTGATGAAGGAGAACTTTCAAATACCATATAGTAGTTGCTGTATATGCAACATATGTCCTCTGAAGATTTCAAAGCTCTTGGAATTACAGTTTTTGGTGTTTACTCTATAAAATTTGACAAAAAGTAGGACTTTCAGGAAACTTTCTCATGTTTAAAGTCAATGGTAGGTTTTCTGATTGGCAAGTTTCTCAAAGTTTGCCTTATACTTGATCATTTCTTGCAATGAATAACATCAATACTAGATTTAAGCTTTCCCTTCCAAGTTCCTTGATAAGCAAATGGAGATAGACGATGAGATGATGTCAGTGACGCTAGCAGCAAACATGATTGAGCGTTTCGACTTGGAGTTCTCTACGTCAAGCATGAAGCGAATGAGACGCAAGCTAGGCTGGAGGTGTGTGGGGACCAGGTACTGCCAGATGGTCCATGAAGCAAATAAACCAAAGAGATTGGCCTTTGCACTAAAGATACGTACGTTTTACAATGGGCGAGGAGTCTCACTGCATGTGCATTACTCCAAATACAGAAGGAAATCCATTCAACTGATGAAAATGTTCTGGAAACTTTTATTGAGAATGGACCAAGAAAGCTGGACTTAATTCCATAACAGTGTTCATACTTTATTACCTCAGACATACCTGTCTACGGGTTAATTTCAATAGAATGACATTCCCTAGGCTGTGAGAAATTCCCTTTGGATATGAGGCTTTTTGGCCACCTGCTCTCCGCTGAAAGGCAGCCAGTATCTATGTTT